AGAGTTTTCAGGGCGAATGCTAGAACATCTCCCCGGCAATGTGCCCAGCGTGATGATGTCACCTTCAGGTGACATCATCGCACCAGGCATGCCGGCTGGATTTGGGCACTTTGGGGGTGGGGTTCCCCCGATGGCTGGATCTGGGCTGGCAGGTTGGAGGCCCTTTGAGGGGGCCCTGGGGGACCTAGCAGCCCTAGGCCCTGCCCTGGCAACAGGAGATTCAAGTGACTATCCTTGGCCACTATCAAATGAGGAGGGAAGGTGAAGCAACACCACAGGAGGGAGGCCTGGGAAACAACAGGAAATTTGGAAAAGGAAGAACAATTCTGGGGACTCCCTGGAGCAGATAGAAGGCCCAGCAGGCCAAAAACAGCCTGGGAAAATATGGGACAGGCCCTACCCCTGAGAATCAGGGGCTACGAGAGGCTTTTAAAGGCTTGAAGGAGAAATTAAGGGGAAATGACAGGTTGGAGAGGGTGGAGGGATGAGTGCCATTTCCTGGAAGGCAGTCACTGCAGGGTTGCCTGGAGAAGTCCCATTCCAGGTACTCCTTTATAAGGCCTGTCTGAAGACAGTCAGGTAGGATGGAGGGTAGGTTTTGTCCACAAAGCCAGAGGTTGGGGAGAGCATGAACCAGGGTGAAGACCCCCTCCCACCATTGCTGAGGCATTGCTCATAGGCATGCTGGAAAAGGCAAAGCAAGAAGGTGAACCCCACCCCCTGGACTCCAGCCACTGACTGGTGGAGTCTGACAGCTGTTTGGGGAAAAGCCTAACTCTGCAACGAAATGGGCTAGAGGCCTACTTTAAAAAAAATGAAAACTGGGAACTTGGAGAATCTGATGCATATTTTAGCATATATGGTATATTACTATAATAGCATTATTAAGTTGCCAATTGTAAAAAAAAAAACCCTCAGGAAAACCTGCTGTGTAGAAGCCCATTCACCACTGTGCTGTATTAGCAGTCTCAGCAGCAACAGGAAAACTACTTGATTTCACCATTGCCCATATGGAGCTCATAGAAGACAATGAGGAAGACCCTGTCCACGGAGAGCATGCCCTGTTGTCTGTCTGGAACACTTTCACTGCTCATCAGAGTCACAATAGGAAGGTTTGCATAAGAGCTCTGGATGCTTCTCAGAAAATAAGATGAGGTATCAGCCTGCTAATTGTGTTGATCTACTGAATTCTATAATGGATTCCAGATATTGCACTTAAGCAAAAGAGCACAGAGAGCACTATGTGGTAAACAAAAGTAAAGCAAAGGCTGAGAAGAAAGCATCAAAATCTGGAATTAGGTGTCCAAGTCATATTTTATTGATGGCCCCCAAATATCCTTTGCATTCTTAAAATATTGTATGGAGTCATGCTGTGCATTATTTTTGAAAATTTCTTCCTAATAGCAAACACAAGACACTAAACCAGAATAATAAAGTGCATTCCTTATTGGGGGGGGGAAAAGAAAGTTCAAATTATTTATATTTGCACTGGCAAGAGCCATCTAAAGGCTTCACAGAAATCTGTAGCAACGAAACCCCACACCACTGGGAATGCTATAGCAACAGTCCCCTACAAGCAGACAAGTAGGCCAGCCACCAGGGAACCTTCTGGCAGAGCTGAGGGGAGCAGGCATCCAAAGACACAGGTGGGTGACAGTGCTGGCTTTTAGAAGCCCAGCAATGGCCAGAAGTTGGCCAGCTGGAGAGGCAGGAGTGAGACATATGCTCACCTGAAGGCGCAAGGGTAAGACGGCTGAGAGACAGGAGTTTGCCCTCTGGGTTATGTGTATTGATGGTACATTTGGGATAAAGAAGTAATTGATTAAAAAAAGATTTTAGTGTAATAGTCCTTTCTCTCTGTGGGAAATGTACATAGGATGCTCACAGCATATTCAACAGTTGCATGTGAAAAAAACACATGCAACTGTTGAATATGCTGTGAGCATCCTATGTACATTTCCCACTCAGAGAAAAAGGACTAGGCTTGCCACGTCCCCCCGGGGGGCGGGGAAACCCCCGCCCCAAAGGCCCGTTCCCCGCCAGCGGCGGATCGGGCCCCAGGGGGAACTCC